ACAACCTCTATGTGTTAGGAGCATCATATGTTTGAAGTTTTGATCATCAATTTTGAAGAGAAGTGGTTCAATTGAATCAAAGGGGAAAAACAGTCATTTTACTCAAAGTCCACAAAGTCAAAGTTGACCAAGTGGACTTTTGGTCAACATGAAGCATTTGACATGTATGTTTATGTGGGATGATCATTGATGATTGATTTTGATAAATATTGCAAGTTTGAGAGGTTACTTAGATTTAAAGTTATCTTGGTGATTGAAAATTTCACCAAATGTTCTTGGTTTAGGCCAGACTTTACAAGGGCATAAATTTCTCATTTTTCATGGGATTTTGGTGGTTTTTTTACTAATTGAAAAGGGTAAAAAGATTTATAAGGCCCCACAGAAGACAAAAACACACTTCTTACTCAAAATCAAAAGTTATGAGCCTTTGAAGTTCAAGGCAAGTTGAGCATTTTTTTGGGCAATATTGGGCAACTGGTCAGGCAAGGCAAGAAATTTGGCCTAGGCAATTCATCAAACTGTTGGTGACATGCTTGTAATTGTTAGTTCAAGGAATAATTCAAAAAATTTCCTTATGCACTTTAAAGAGGGCTACGAAAGCTTCTTATTAAACTTGGAATCTATCAATTTGGTTTAAAATCGAAAAGGATGTGATTTGAGGAAGTTGGATATTGAAACTAGGTATTCTAATGGCTCTCTTTGATTTCCTTTAGCTTGGGCCATTCGAAGTAGTTTTGTAGGCTGGTCGAAGCCTCTTTTTCTCTCTTTTATTTCCTTTAGCTTGGGCCATTCGAAGTAACTTTGTAGGATGGTCGAAGCCTCATTCTCCTCTCTTCATTTGAACATTCAAAGTGTTACCTTGAGGGCTTGTCGAAGTCTCATTCTAGTCTCTTCGTTTGGACATCCAAGGTGCCATCTTAAGGGGTGGTCGAAGACTCTTGCTTATTACTTTGTTCTTCTCCAGTTTGGACATTCAAGGCGCCATCTTAAGGGCTGGTTGAAGCCTCTTTCTTCTTATTCGTTCTTCTTCGTTTGAACATTCAAAGTGTTACCTTGAGAGTTGGTTGAAGCCTCATTCTACTCTCTTTGTTGGACATCCAAGGTGTCATCTTGAGGCCTGGTTAAAGCCTCTTGCTTCTTACCTTGTTCTTCTTCAGTTTGGACATTCGAAGCATTATCTTAAAGGTTGGTCGAAGCCTTAGTCTTCTCTTTTCGTTTGGACATTCAAAGCGTTATCTTGAGGACTGGTCGAAGCCTCATTCTTCTCTCTTCGTTTGGACAACCAAGGTGCCATCTTGAGGGTTGGTCGAAGCCTCATTCCTGCTCTTTTCGTTTGGAGAATTCGAAGGGACCTTATAGGTTGTTAGAAACCTCATCCCAGCTTTCTTTATTTTCTATCAACTTGGACCATTCATAGTGACCTTATGGGTTGGTTGAAATCTCATTCCTGTTCTCTTCGTTTCCTCTCAATTTGGACCAATTAAAGTGTTATCTTGAGCAGGCCAGCGCGCACAGTTTTGGGCAAGTTGGCTTGAGTTGCCCAGTGTGATACGGTGGCAGAACCAACTGGTATACTGGTTTTGCAATTTGTATTCGCAAATGTGCGGTAAGCAAGAGTCGCCACCGACTTTTCTTTTATCCAATAAAGGAAAGGGTGAAAAGAACAGAAAAAGACCTTTTTTGGAGATTTTCTGAGTAAGGGGGGTAGATTATGGAAAGGGAAGGTGTTAACACCCTTTCCATCTGTGGTTTTCCACGGGCTCTTAGGTACTTGCTCATTTTTGAAAAATGATTTTGGTGTTTGTGTGTTTTGAAAAGTTTTATTTGCTTTATGATAACTCTTGTATCAGTCCTCAAGAGTGTGATAAAGCATTTTTTAAAAGAATTTTGAAAGTGTGGTGTAAAAAGGAATTGGTTTTGAGCAAGTACTTAGCAGCTATCTACCTACTCGAAAAAGGGGTTCTTTTCCTCCTTTCCTTTAGACATTGTTATCTTACTATTAGTGAGTGTAATACCCAAAATTTGTCCTACTCTTATGAATCGTCTAGCTTATACATTTAGTTCTCATGTTATGCATTCACTCTCTGTTAGGTCATTCAACACATCATGTATTCACAAGTAACATGAGACATGAGATCAATGGTCATGGAAAGGCTAGGGCGCATGGTTTGGGGTGATTACTTCATAAAATCTTGGTTCATTTGAAATATCATTGGTCTTGAACCAGGATTTGGTCCTATGTTCACTATGGACTTTGTATTTCAACTTCGTGCAAGGCTTATTTTAACCAAGGACTCTCAGGGATCATAAAACCATGTTTTATCTCCTCATATTTGGAATGGCTAGGAATTATTCTTCTCTACATTAGATCCTATTTATATCCCGAGGAATGACTTGCATTAATTCTTGCAGTACAAGTTATCCTGTGGGTTTCTTTCAAAAGCTTGGACTTGAAGAAAAAGAGTCTTTTATAATTCAGGGATTAATAAGTTTGCACTTAGTATTTGGGGTTAAGGTTTTGACTGGAAGATCATCAGAGGATGCATTTCTCGACTGAGGTTTCACTTGGACTTTCTCATGATCAATCAAAAGAACTTGCCTTTAAATGCTTGAATCAAAGAGGATTGGATATGTATCTCATAATAAAAGAAGGATATGTATTCAACTGTTTCTCATTTCACCAATTAGGGGTTGTATGCATGATAGTTCAAGGTATTTCATTGAATCTGACTGGTTGCTCGAAAGATACAAGGTCTTGTTTTAATCTCAAGATACATGGACAAAACCCTTTTGGCCAAAAGTGTGTCTTGAAACCATTTCTTTCGGTTATGCGTTATAAGTGAGCAAATCTTACAGGATACAAACTAGAAATATTCATTCATTTTGGTCAACAAGTCACAAATGTAAGGTCAATGACGAGAAGATATTACAAAAGAAAGCATGTACAGTGACCATGTTCTTAACTATTCCAAAAAAAAACATCATGACCAATTCATCATTGTTCATCCTTCGACCTAGTTACTAAGCTATATTCAAAACCTCTTCAGCCACCACCTTTCAAACATGTACGCATATTGTATGCTGCTTCCATGTGTGCTAAAATCCCCTTATTTTAAACTCTACTTTAACTTCATCCTATGCCATCTATCCTTACCATAGCCTTCCTAGACCAAACTTGCGCTTGATACAAAACTTACAGCTTCATTTCTCATCTGTGCACAAAAAAAAACTGTTGACGTTAATACAAAAAAATAGGGGACATCAATGTTACAGGATACGAGCGTACCAATGTCCCAAGGCAATTTCGAAACAACAGGAAAATTCAGCAAATAAAAATATATCAGAACCAAAGTAAATCCATAATCTTAGAAGAAACCATAAGAACAGACCTACATCAATTGATAAGCAGAATCAGTTCGTTAGGCATCCGACAATTAGAAGATGAAATCAGGCTTCTACAAAAACCAGCTCCTGTCTTGACATAACAGTTGGCCTGCAAGAAACTGAGAAGGGATTAAGTCAGAAATACAACTCATCTTAACTGAATCTTAAAATCAAAACAAAACACTAACAGAAAACAAGCAGGAAGCGGAATTTTTAACTGATGTAACAAACTTCCATAACTTCCAAAAAGCAGTTAATTGAATTCCAACTACCAGATAACCCCCTAACTGTTTTAATGACCTTCCAAAATTGCCCTAACAACTTTTCAAAACCACATAACTTTCAAATTTAACAGTTTTCTAACCAACCTATAAACAACCTCCAACTGACTTCCAAACCTCTCAGCAGAGTTAACAGAAACCCAATAGAACTTCTCAACAGAAATATAACTGAAAAAACTAATAGCAAAAAACCAATTCAACAAAATTTTCATAGCTAGTTGTCTTCTAATCTCTCACCTTCTCCATTTTGCTCCTTCTAATAGAATTTCAATTTTACTGTTTTCCAATTTCCAGTCCCTAACAGATTTCTAACAACTCCAACCAATTCCAAACAGCCCTCTAACTGAAACCCTCTAACAGATTCTTAACCAATCTGTAACAGGAGGTAACTAACTTCTCTAGCTTTGAACCATATCCTAACCAACTTTATAACAAGTCTAGCCAACTATAGCATCCCTAACAACCTAAGCCCTAAGCGTTTTCTAAGCCAATTTACATAACTACTTTTAATAGAGTTCCGTAACTGTTCTAACTAACTTCTAACAGCTTGCAACCAACTTTTAACCACCTTCATAACAGAACCAACAAACTTCTAACAGAAATTCCCTAACTAATTCTCAAACAGAATTTAAATTATCTCTAAGTGAATTTTCTAAACTCCAATCCAACCCTCCATCTCATAACCGAATTCTGAGATCCAGTGGCTCAAGGCTTACCTAACCAATCTATATAACTGCACCTTTTTCATTCATCATGATCACCCACTAACATTCTGTATTCTCCACTCTGCATAATCTTCATACACCATTCAAACCCTCACCACAATTTTCATTTTCTTTTCATTAGTATCACACGCACCAGTTTTCTAGATTCTCTCCAATTCTCTCTCTGAATTCATCATCTCCTTCACTCCTTCCCTCTGCAACTCAAAAAACCTTCATTCTCTTCCCTCAACCCTCTACTTCAACCTTCATCCCACGAATCATTCGTCCTTCACCTTCATCTAAACTCATCAGAAACTTCTTTAATCTCCTACATCTGCTCAGCCTCACATGCTCAATTTTGTGACCAATAACTTAAGAACACACAAATAACTCTCAATACAGAGGTTTGAATACTCGTTTGATTTCAGAAAAGCAAAAAGAAAGGGAAGAAGAAGAATAAACACAGAAAAGCAATAACATATACAAAGAAAAGGACTTAGAAAATTACCATACATCCCTGGATTTCTCGCATCATCGGCGCCATTTAAGAGGCGCCAGAATGTCTCTGGCAGGTAAATGCCTCTACCTTCTCTTTTCAATTTCTTTGTTCAAATATTCTTGATATCGGAGTTTAGAGAACGAAACAGCGAGGTGAGCTGAGTGAGGCTAGAAATAAGAGTGAGCAGAGAGAAAGGCTTAGGCGTGGGGGTTTGGGGTAGCAATTGGTATTTCCATATGAATGATAATGATGGTGGCGGCGTAGTTCGTCAGAGCCGGTGAAGGAAGAGAGCGCACCTCGTGGAGTTGGATCGGGGAGATGTGAAACTGCAGCGTCGACTTTCATTGAAGAAGAAGGAAAGTACAGGGAGGGATTCACTGTAACGTGAAGAAGGCGGAAGCTGAACGACCATGCGATTCTAAACCCTATTCCTAATTCAATTTTTTTCTTTAACTTTTTATTTTCTTGTAATAAAACAAAATTCTAATACAAGTAATTTCCTTGGGCCTCAATTGAGCAATACACCCCCCTAGGCCTGTTGCTTTTTTTTTAAAATATGAATTGAAGAAGAACAAATATACATTGTGGACTTTTTGAAATGGGCCTAGCGCCCTGCTTCTGTACACCCATGGATTTCAATTATCACCCCCTGATTCTCTTAGTTTTCTTTTATATTTTTTAATGCTTTTTTTTTCATTTTTTTTAATAACAAAAAGACATGACAAAAAATGGTAAAAATATTAGAAGGAATTTTAGAAATTAATTAGGAATATATTTCCTCTTTTCCTAACTTTTTAGTCTAGTTTAATCATTAGTTTTATTCATTTTATATCATGTATTTTTGTTTGCGATTTTTGAGTATGGATCGTATGCAATACTTTAATACTTGCTACCAATTTTACTTGTTTGTATAGTATTTCTTGATCCATTAGGATATTTTGGTTCAAATTTAATCTTCGATTTAATTAAACTAAAATTAGACATTAGGATTCTAAATCCAAGCATGCAAACATTAGATAGAATTCCCTCAAAATTCTAACTTTTAGGTCCAACAATGCATGATAACATTAGGTTTAGAAATAGGATAGACTGCCTTTGAATTTTAGTCCCCTTTTGCATTTGCATTAAAACAAAAACTACTTTTCCCTTTCAAACTTCGAAATACTTTAAAATTGCTGATGAGAATCATACCTTTTGTTGAGCATGGGAAATGATAAGTGGGTCTCTTCTCGATCTTATTGTTCTTCCGTCATCAACCTAGGTTGGTTCAAGTCTCAAATACTCCTTTCCTGGATAATTAGAGAAGCATCTAATATCTCTCTCTTGAGGTCAACTAGTCATTATCTGCAACAAAAATACAAACCAATTCAAATCTTTTTGTGCGCTCAAGCACCTTTTCTCAAAACCTTTTTCAGGTAAGGATATGATTAATTTACTTATGTGCCAACGCATAAGTCTCCAAAGGCCGAGCTGTGGCAGAAGGCGGAATTAACATTTCCCATAAAAAACACAAACAAACAAAACATATGAGCCGAACTACGGTAGCTCTGATTCCTTAAAAAGGATATGTAGGCATTGGGGTAGGGCCCAAGCAAGTACAATTTTATTTTCCCTACATTATTTTCTCATTTATTTTGCATGCATTCTTTAGCAGTAGTGAACAGTAAGCATAGATTAAACACACCCATAAGATAGATAACAAGAGTGGATACCATAGAGTACTACGGGCGTGTGGGGTGCTAATACCTTCCCCTCGCGTAACAAACTCCCTTACCCGATCTCTTGGTTGCAAAATCGTGACTTCTCCCTTCTCAGGTTTTCTCGATGTTTACCTTTCCCTTCATGTGGGATAAAAGACATTTGATGGCGACTTCATTGTTTGATGATTTTCAACCGGTTGTTCCAGCTGGCGACTTCACTAGGGACAGGTCAACCAAATGCTGGTCCCTCCCGGAGTCGCTCCTAGCTCTTGTCTTCTTCTCTTTGGGTGTTTATTTTCTTTATGGATTATTTATTTTGTATATACCTAAGCATATGTCTGCATCGCATTTTACTGTTTTCCATATACTACTGTTGTACTGGAGCTGCTTCTTGATTGGGTTGGGATGTTACTATTTAGGTAAAAGGCCCAGTACCCAGGTGTTGTACCCCAAAATTATCCCTCCCATATTTCTCAATACATGTCAAGTAAGGTCTTCAAATTGCTCAAGGAAGTCTAAGAGTGGACCAGACAAACCCTCTCCTAAGACAGTCTACCCCAAATTAGGGTTTCATTTTACATCAAGATGCTTGGGTCCAAAGGATCCCAAATGCTCACCTTTGTCCTAATATGTTCTCAAGATCATCCATGTCAAGTTTCAAGCCGTGCAGAGAAGATTTGCTCAGTCAATTGCTCAAAGGCCTGAAAATTGACTTTGCTAGGGCAAAAGTCAACTGTGGCCCACATACAGTCAAACTTAGAGATTTTTGGTAAACATTCTCATTTTTAAGTGTTATTCACCATTTGATCAAGGTTTTATCATGATTCCTCAAGGATTTCTCACAATTCATCAAAACCCAAAAGTTGCTAAATTAGGGTTTTGTAGGAAAAGCCAACTCAACTTTGACCAAGCATAACATTCCCATACTTTATCAAAAATGACCCTTCCAAAGCTCATTTTGAAGAGGATGAAATTCCCTACAATCCATCTTCAGCTCCCAAGTTCAAAATATGCACTCACAAGAAGATACGAATTTGGACATTATAGGTAATTTTGAAAAGTCAACAAAAACACCTTTAGGGTCAAAGCTTCATACATTAACATGGAAGACTAAATTGAGATGAGACCAAAAGGGTTTCTTATAGGACATCCTAAGCTTTCTAAAAAGTCAAAGAACACATCTCTAGGATCAAAATTGATGGAGTTATGCATTAGCCAAATTTACCGTTTTTGCAAAATTGCCAAAAGTCAAATGTGTCCCAAATTGCATTTTTTTGCTAAATGGGCCCATCTTTTTATGCTTGCACTGAGTTTGTAATATGAACCACGACCCATGAACCTTTCCACTTGTCATTCTTTTATTTTTGTTATTTATTTTGATTTTATTTCATATAAATAAAATAAAATCAATATAAAATAGTGAAAATATCAAAAATCATTAAATCCTTGAGATTTTATGCATGATTAGGTCCATTATACAGCTGGAGACAAGATCAAATCGTTAAAGGCTTCATATGGACACAAAAAGATTGAATTTTCTTGTTTTGGAAATATTTTGTGCAAGGATTAAATCATTGATCAATCTTCATAATTGGAAAAGATTTGATACAAACTGTAACCCTAATGCAGTCTAGTATACATAAGGAAAAAAGGAAAACCAAAGAGAGAGGCTAGAGGCGTGCAAAGGAAGAGAACCAATTGCAAAAATTCAAAGGTAAAAGTGCAAAAAAAATTCCAACTTGCATGCCATCTCAAGTTGTTCTAACCATACCAATCATTTGTTGGACGTCCTAGAATCGTGTTTCAATCGTTAGCAAGCCTCCCCACGCTCAAAATCACCCTGTAAGGTTCACACGGTTTGCCTCTTTTCTTGAATTCGAATATATTGATTTTGGCATATTTAGCATGATTGATTGGCATATTTATAATCTTTGAGATGTTTTCAAGCTAATGGTTGTATTCAATTTCATTTTTATTGATTGTACATCAAACTGCCATGGCTAGGGTTCGTTCTTCATTTTTAGGGATTTCTCATACAGGGATAATTGGACATTGATAATGGTACCATGATGCTCGAGGGGTTGAAACGAGTTGATTGGTACCATTGTTTTTCATTTATCATGCGCATACAGGATTGTTGAAATGCACAGGGGTTATACCTACGCTTAATGTCCGTAGGTAAAATTTACAAAAATTACAGCGACGGTGGGAGGAAGAAGATGGATGCGTGGCGATCCTTGACTTGCCAGTTTGAATTTCGCGCATTTTGAAGTATAATATTTTGTTTGTATTATATAATATTTGTTTGTTATTGTTTATACAACTAACACAGCTAGCTCATATGGCAAGCGTGCAAGGGGAGAATGCTTAAGGGCCTGGGTTCGATCCCCAAGTCCCAACTTTTATTCATGCTTGTATTTAACAGGAAATCCTGCGTATCACATGGCAAGGGATCCACCCTGTACTATCCAGATCTGGCCGTCCCATTCATCAACGCCCCAGATCCAAGGCGTATGCCTTGAAAGTCCACTATGCGCCCCAGTCAAGCGTGCACATGGGATTGGGCAAAGTCAACAGGGCCCGGAGCTTGTTGGGCCAAAAAATTCCAAGCTACACCCCCTTTTGCTAAGAAATCAGGCCCATTTTTCTTTCTTTTCTATTTTATTTCTTTTATTTAAATGTTTTTTCTTAATTGTTTTTTTTTAAATAAAATTAATCCCTTTTTTACAAATCATAAAATCAAGAGTTTACAAAAAAATTAGATTTAGGTTTTTTTATCAAATTTAATTTAATTTAGGGAAATTCTAACCTTTTTATTTAATTAAAATCAATTAGAAAAATTAAGGTTAGACTCTGGATTCAATATTTATTTCTTTCTCAAAATAAAAATACAAAAACTAGGTTAATTTAATTATTTTTCTTAAATTAAGATTAATTAGTAATTAGGTTTTTTTTTATTAGTCAATTAAGCTTTATTTTCTCAAAATAATCAAAAACGACAAAAAATAGTTTTCTCTTTAAATTACAATTAGGTATAGTTAGGGTCAAAACCCTAATTATTTTGCATTCGATTCATCGCGCGTGTTTATTATTTTTGCAATATTTTTGCATTCGATCCCTTTAAATTACAATCTAGGATTTTCTTTTATTTATCGTCTTTTGCGAGTTTTTTTGGCTATGTAATTAATCCCTATCCCGAAGCCTTGTAATAGCGTAGGTTTATTTTCTCGCATTTTAATTCTCGCAAATATTAACTGTTTAGATGTATGTTTATAGAATTGTATGAGAAGATTGCATTATAATTTAAAAACGGCTAGAAAACCTTAAATGTGCAAAGATAATAACTGAATTAAAATCACTCGCACATGTGCACTCTTAGGGTATACTCTCACTTCGGTTTCCTTCGGTAAACGATCAATAAGCATAGGGTGTCTTAGTGGTTTCCCTCCTGTCTAAAAAAGATCAAACGTCCCTTTTGAATGATGCCTCAGAAATGTTGCCTCCGAAATGTTGCCTAGAATATGATCTTAAGACTTTAGGGTTATTACTAAGACGTCCTAACATTGCTTTAGTGATTGTACGTCCCTTAAGAATTGACCCTTACAACTCTAACGGCGGTGCTATTTGTTTCTCAATAGTAGGATA